CTCGGACCCGTAACGCCCGTTACGGGGGGGGGGTCCCCCCCCCCCGTAACGGTACCGAGCGTACGGGGACGGGGGTGCGGACCCCCCCTCCGTCCAGGCAGGCATGTTGTGACGCTCACATGTGTGCTCAGGTTCGAGGTTCGAGGTTCGAGGTTCGAACCTCGGCGCAAACTCAAAATGGGTCCACGGGGCCCGACTGGGGCTCAGACGCACCAGTTTCCTGAGCCGCGTCCAGCCGCGGCGACGACGAAGGCCCTCGAGGGCCAGGATGCCTCGATCCTCGAGGTTCGAGGTTCGCATCCGTCGGCGCGAACCTTTCAACGGGTTCCGGCCTGGCCCCTCCACCTCCTTTGCCTTGCTTCTGCACTCCCTCCAGTGCTCGTGCCCTCCACCTCCTCTCACCTCCTGGGGGGAGGGGGGAGCGAGGCAGAGGGAGGAGGAGGATGAGGAGGATGAGGAGGACGAGGAGGACGAGGAGGGTTGGAGCAGGATCGGAGGAGGAGGTGATGAGGATCGGAGGAGGGGCATGAGGAGGAGGAGGAGGGGGCAGAAGAGGAGGAGGAGGAGGAGGATGGAGGATCGGAGGGGGATCGGAGGAGGAGGGGGATCATCTTCCTCTGGTCCCTCCGAGCGTCCTCCTCCGATCGTCCTTCTCCGATCCTCCTTTCACCTACCCTCCACTTCCTGTCCTGTGCTTGTCCGAAACCCGTGCGGTCCGAAACCCGTCTCTTGTGGGACCTGTTTGCTTCATGGGCGACCTCCAGTGGATATCTTTCGGCGGGAGTGAGAGGGGGCAGGCCTTCTCAGAAAGCGGCGGGACTTCTCAGAAGCCCTCCGGCCTTCAGAGGAGCCCTCCGTGTCTTCGGGGGAGGCTTGGACATCCCTCCGGCCTTCTGAGCCTTCTCAGAAGGCCCGCCCCCTGTCATTCCCCCCCTCGGCTCGCCGCCAAATCTTGCGGGCAGTGCCAACGGGCACTCGTTTTAGCACTTGATCGGTGGTGTGGCGCGCCACAGGTGCCACAGAATGGTCGTCGTCATCCCTGCCGCGTCCATTGTCATTATCCTGCGGGCTGCACCTGGAGTCCCGACGCCCGCCCTCCAGCACGACGTTTCCCCGAACAGTGCGCGCACCAGGAGTTCCGTTGAAACGCAGCGCCACAAAGTGGCCCCGCCTTTGGCGCAACCTGTGGCGCAACCATCGACGCAACCTATGGCACGCCCTGAGGGCGCAACCTAAGGCGCAACGTAAGGCGCGATTTGTGGGGCGCCCTGGGAGCGCAACCTATGGCGCAAGCTATGGCGCGCCCTGGGGGCGCATCCTATGGCGCAGCTTACGGCTCAACCTATGGCGCAGGTAATTGTACGCAAACACAAAGTGTGGTGTAACGCATCGGGCAAGCCATGTCGCAACCAGCCGGTGCACTCTCTCACTATAATTGTGACTACTACCACTGTCCTCCCTCCATTCTCCCTGTGCTGGTGCAAGGGGCTGGATTGGGCGGGACCTGCACGCGGATGTGGCCGCGTGTCCTTCCAGCGCTCGGCCCTCCTACCTCGCGCGGTTGGTCACGCCAGCCCGCCGCATGTGTATCCAGCAAGTGGGCCCCAAGCGCTGCTGAAGCTACCGGCAACTGGCTGCGGACACGGCGGCGGCGGCGACGGCGACGGCGGCATCGGCGGTGACGACGACGGCGGTGACGGCGGCGGTCACCTTCACCGCCGCCGCCGCCGCTTGCCGCCGTCGGCGTCGTCGCCGTCGCCGCCGCCGTCGTCGTCGTCGTCGTCGTGGTCGCCGTCGCCGCCGCCCGTGTCGCCGCCGCCGCCGCCGTCGCCCCCCCGGTCGCCGTCGCAATTGACGGCGACGACGACGACGCACCCGCGTGCACGCTCCAGCCGTCGACCCATGTCTCAAGGGCCTTGTGCCTGTGCAGGGAGATCCTGCTTCCTGTATTCCCTAGGCAGCCGCCGCCCCGCGCGCCCCCACGGCGCGTGGTTTACAGTCCGCACAAAAACAACCGTACACAAGCTTTGTGGTGCACACGTGCCATGTGGTATACACAGGCGCCACGGTTCACACTCCCATGATGCACACAGTCGCGATGGAGTACACAGGCGCTGTGTGCTCAACAGGTCCGATCGCTTTTTGAGCCAGAAAAAGCTAAGATCCACAAACAGCTCACAGAATGAAAGGGCCACGGTTGGGCCCCGAGCGATCTTCTGGAGTTTCGCTCCGCCGGTACCTTGCAGGTGTACACAAGCTTTGTGGTGTACGCTGGCATTCTGGTGCAAACGCGGGGCGTTGAAACAGCAGCTGTGGTGCACGCGGGCGCCGTGGTGTGCACCAACAGTGAGATGTACAAGGGCGGTGTGGTGCACCCGTCTGTCATGATGTGCTCAGTCGCCGTGGTGCACACACATACCATTTTTGCCGCAGTTGTGGTGTACAAAGGCATCGCGGTGTACAGAGCCTGTGTAGTGTGCACAGGCACGGTCGGCTTCGACGGCGGCGACAGCGGCGACGACGACGACGAAGCCTACCGTGCCGACAGTTGTGCTGGTAATAAGCACCAGGGCCCGTGCGAGGGCCCCGCCGCGCGTCACCGTTACTCCCAAGTTGGGGCCGGACCCCCTCCCCCCGTAACGGGCGCGACCCCCCCCCCCAAAAAAAAAACTCCACGCGTATCCCCTATCCAGAACAGCGTTTCGTGGCCCGGAGGGAGATCCACCAAAGGCACCAGTGGCAATGTTCGCATGCGCGCCCCCCCCAGCCCGCACAGCGCTTCGTGGTCCATATGAAGCTCCACCGACTGCGATACCCACAGCTGCGGTATTCACAGGCGCCTCATGATGTGTTGTTGCCCCCCCGGACTTCCAGGAAACGGCTCCCGTTTGACACGTCTTGACAATATATTCAACATCGGGCTCTCACGCGGGATTTTTTTAAGTATGTCGGAATCGTGTTCTCGCGTGGTACTTCCTCGCAATGTGTTGCGGCGCCGCACCTCCAATCACGCTCTCGCTTTGGATGTCTTGGCGATTTACTTGGGAATCTCGCTATCGCTCGAGACGTCCTCGCCCGCTAGGTTCCGCCAGCCCGACCCGCCCGTCTTGTTTTACTGCGTGCTTTTCTGCTCCGAGCCCTCCTAATCTCTCTCGTGTTCCATCCTTTTCCCTCCCCCTTGTCCCATCCCTCCTCCCTTCCCCTGTTTTAGGGGGTGCGCCAACCACACGTGGCAAGGAAAGAAGATATACCCCCAAAGGGTGCACGAACGACGAGGATGAGAGCGGGTATCGAGGGTTTGGGGCATACAGTTTAGAAGACACGCGAGCAGATAAGAACGAACCGTCTTACCATATAGATGCTGTTGTTGTTGTTGCCGTTGTCGTTGTTGTTGTTGTTGTTGTTGGTGGTGGTGGTGGTGGTGGTGTCGTCGTTGTTGTTGGTGTTGTTGCTGGTGTTGTTGTTGCTGTTGCTGATGATGATAATGTTGTTGCTGCTGCTGCTGCTGTTGACGTTGCTGCTGTTGCTGTAGTTGCTGCTGTTGCTGATGCTGCTGCTGTTGTCGTTGGTTTGGGTGTTGTTGCTATTGTTCTTGTTGTTGGTGGTGGTGGTGGTGTTGTCGTCCTCGACCGCGCACCGCCCGTAACCCACCCCCCGCCGACCAATCCCGCGACGCACCCTGCGACTCACCTGCGACCCAGCCCTCGCCCGCCCCCCCCCGCTCGTATCCGCAATTTCGTGGTGCTACAGTCAACCATGATAGTAAGGATGGGGCAACTTTCCAAGGCTACCCTTGCATCCTTGCCCCTTCGGTATTCGGCATCATTCGGCATTCTGCTGCGCTCCGCACGGAAAACGTCAACATGGCATTCCAAGGCCTTTGCATCCTTACGGCGCATCCTTACTATCCTGGTCGAGTGTACGCCGCGAACTTGTTCGAAGCGCGCCCCAGGCGCACCCCCAGCGGCTCGGTGTCGCCTCGGACGTGTGCGCCTGTTTTCCCCGCGAGGACCACCGAGGGCCATCCTGAAGCGTTTTTTTGTCCGGCGAGGACCACCGCAAATGCACGGGGAATCGGCGTGCGAGCGAGGGCAGGGCGATGGAAGCCACAGTTGTGTATGCTGCTCTTCGGCCGCCTGGGGGGATACCGCACCAGGAGGGCGGGGTGCTGCCTGAGACGTGTATACATGCCCGGTACTCCTGGCCAGGCCCATCCTGGGCCTGGGAGCCGTGTGTATATAGATATGCATTGTTTATATGTATATGTACACGTTTGTTTGTGTACATATATATATATATATATATATATACATGAATGTCTACATGCATATATATGTATGGTAACATGCACACGTATCTCTGCATCAATAGATATAAGGGGTGTGTGTGTGTGTGCATCCCCAGCCAAGCCTGGAGGGCGTATGCGCCGCTACTGTCTAGGCCTCCTAGATGGGGTCAGAGTAGATGGGGTCGAATATTGGTGCCGCATCGCCGATGCATCGGCGATGCGGCTCGATGTGGAGCCCGACTTGCTCCACGCCGGCTTCGCCGATTCACCGCCGATGGTGCCGATGCATCGTCGATGTGTCGGCGATGCGGCACGATCCTCCGACCCCATCTACTCGGACCCCATTCGGGAGGCCTGTATCCTGTCCCAGGATGGGTCTGGCCAGGGCCGGGTCGTGCGAAAGGAGAGGGGTTTGAAAAAGGGGTGCGGTACGAAACGTGCTGCGTGCAGCTGATTTCGGCCCGACCGCCGGGCGCCTTCGTCGATACACTGGCGCCTCCAGCGCCGGGGGGGCACTGGGAAAACCAGCTACGTGAGCTGATTCGCTGCAACCTCATTGCTATCCCCCCCAGTAGTCCGACCTGACATTGGCATAAGATGTGCGCAAGGGGATGCGGGAGGAGGGAGGTAGATGAGGAGGGAAGAGGAGGAGCAGGATGAGGAGCAGCAGGGGGATGTGTAACTATAGATTTCGTCGCCCTGGGGCTGCAAGAGGGATACCTGGGCGGAGGTGGTCGCCGAAGTTTTCCTGGTTCTCTCGCAAGGCAAGTCGCACAACCCTGTGGCATCCTCTTCCTGCGCCTCTGAGCCGGTCCCCTGGTCCATTTCGATCAGATCGCTCCGATTCGAGCTACCGATTCCGGCCGGCCATGTCCGATTCGATTCCTCCGGTTCGATTCCTTTGGTTCGATTCCTCCTGTTCGGTTCGATCCGACTTCATTCCGATTTGATCCGATGTCCCGATTCGATTATGGTTGATCCTGCCCCATAGCGTTGCCCGTCAGGAGAGGGTTCCTGAAGTCCTTGGTGTCTTTTTTGGTATCCTCGGGTCCTCGGGTTGCTCCCTGGGCCCTGGGACCGATGAGCAACCGCTCCTGGACGAAAGGACGAAGCCAGAGGTAGCACAGGGGGACAGAAGGCCCGTTCTTGTCAGAACAATTGCTCCTCTTGGGAGCAATCCTCCGTCCACCTCTCTCTCCTCCCCAGGACCAGAGGATGCGCGATGCTATCCGCGCACTCGGTAGGATTGTGATCCACTGCGAGCAAGGTTCGGGCACGCCACGCGCATGAGCAGGAGGTCGATACGCTACAAAGTGGTGCGATGGCAGGCGGTGTCTGACTATAGTAGAAGCGCAGTGATCTATCAACGCTGCCCTTGATCCCTTGCCTCTCTGGCCTATCCTCAGTCATAGACTGCTGCTGGCTTGACGCAGTTGCAATAGTGCGGATGAATTACACCACGGTCAACAGTCGCCATTATCTCTCGACGTTTGTTGTTTGTTTGATTCAGTGCTGTAGACCCCTCTCTGGCACTTGCATGCACCTCGCGTCGCGCGCATGAACTTGATCTCATTGGACAGAGGTTGACGAGAGGGTTAATGGCAAACCGAGGTCAACGAGTTGATGGGGCAGGGCCTTCTGAAGCTGATTCCAATTGGACCTGAAAGCTCCAGACAATACCGATACCAGGCTGGGGCAACGGCGAGGAGACGGCAGGGATCCAAGAGGTGAGGGGATGAGGGATAAGCGCGGAGGAGGCAGGAGGCAGCAGAGTCGAATGCCTTTTGCTTGCATATCTCAGGCCGAGTATCCTCGGTGATCATCGCATGCTTCGACGGTGCCACGCCAGAGAAGCGAATTGTTGGGCCTAAGCCATGCCGTTGTGTGGCTGCAGGCGTTGGGGAGATGAGGACGCCGAGATTCTCCAGAGGGCAGCGCGTAGGGCGAGTCACCCGATTCATCAGGCGGAAGAGCTCCCTTCCCACGTGTGGTGGCGATGCGAATTGTGATCCAGAGCTTGAAGGCAGAGGAGAAATATGCGCTCCCGGCCTCCCGATTATGGGTCTCCTCGGCGCGTTTGAAGATTCCAGAGAAGCATGTTCGCGATGCTTCTCTTCCTGATGATCTAGGCAGCTTGGGATAGCCCAGTGTAGCTCGAACTTGCTGCCTCGCGCACGGCGCACTTCGCTTTGCCAGCGCTGCGTGCAAGGATTTTGCGCACGAGTTCATTCGAAGTGTGCTGGTTTGCGTTAGGCGGTCATGCTACTGCTGGCGGTGTTTCCAGGATACTGGGAAGCTTCGTCCGAGTATGCGGGTCTGATTTCAAAGCACACACCATGCAGTGTGAGCGTTTTGTTTCCTTGTGTTGAGCCTCCCACTACAGGTCCCGTGCCTCCCCCTCCCGTGTCATTCCGAGGCACCTCCCGTTTCCACTGGACTTGGCGCTGCCAGCGTTGCTGCCACGACGTGCACGTCATGAGTGCCTTCTCAAAGGAACTGCGCATCGAATTGCCGGCGCTGCCGGCAGGAGGCTCGCTCCAAGTTTGCCGCTTGGGCTTGTCCTGAGCATCCCGGGACGTCCGTGTGGCCGCCGTCCTCGCTGTCGTCCTCCCGAGTGTGCTGTCCGGCGCATGGTGCACTTCGCACGGCCAGATCATGTGTGCCCAGGATTTTGCCAAGAAGCTCGTTCCAGGCCTGCCCGCTCGCATATCGCTCGGACGTGTGCACTTTTTCTCGGCGGGGATTCTTCCTGCGAAAACGCACGAAACCGAAAAACACAAGGAATGGACGCCCGCGCGATGACCAGATTTTGCCGAGAAGCTCACTCCGAGCGTGCCCGTTCGCACTTGATGTTCATCACGCCGCCAGCGCTGACGCCAGGAGACGCACTCCGATCGTGCCAGTTCGCGGGCACCGCGCATCTCAATGGTCAGCGCCTGTCGGCATGAGAGTTCTGTCCGAGTGTTCCGGCCTGTTCATGGCGCCCATCGCTCGACGCTCACTCCATGCGTGCCCGCTCGCACGCGATGGCGTGCCCGCTCGCTTCCAGCAGCCTTTCGTTGCCTGGAATGGTTGGCTGGGGGTTGGCGGCCGCAGCTCTCAGATAAGCAACCATCCCTGTCATATACAGTACCACAAGCTGACTCTGTATATTCTCTCTTTCTCTCTCTCTCTCTATCGCTCATTCTTTCTGTCTCTCTCCCTCTCTCACTTTTTTTTTTCTTATCTCTCTCTCTCTCTCTCTCTCCGTCTATTCAGACCACTTCTCGTCTCGACCGCCCATGGTGCAGCCTCATGCTGGCGTCCAGGCTGTGGATGTCAACCACGCGAAGAAGGTGCATGGCCTCGACGACGAGCACATGCTCGTCCTGCAGAAGATCGAAGACGCAAAGGGATCGGGTGCCTGGAGCAAGACGCTGCAGGAGCGCGCCGGCCGCGGGTCAACGACGTCGCCATCGTCCTTGCGACCGGTGTCGGCATCGCGACATATATCCCTCTCTGTCTCTATCGTTCTCTATCTATATCTCTTGCTTTGCCTCCCTCTTTCTCTTTCCCCTCTCTCTCTCTCTATTTCTCTCTCTCTCTCTTTCTCTTTATTTCTCTCTTTCTCTCTCCCTCTAACTTCTCTATCGTGTTCTGTCCCACTTCCCCCCCTCTCTTGCTCTTTCTCGTGTGTTTCTTCTCTTTCACTCTCTCTCTCTCTCTCTCTCTTCTGTAGATGTACATGTACACATATATGTATATGCATGTGTAGATACCTTGCACAATGTGGATGTGCATAAACGGAATCGGGGGACCCAGGCCCACCAGGGCTCCGCGCTGCGGACGACCTTTGTGCAATAGGAGACCGCCCAAAACGCAGCTCCCCGAGTTCTCCTCGTCTCCAAGGTGGCTCGAGTGTTATGTCGGGCCTTTCCCTCTACAGGAGAAATATTGGAACATATGTTTTCAGAAATAGAAGAGTAGGGGAACTATGGTTCGATGTTTTTGTGGCTAGTCTGGACATGTTAGGGGTATTCTCATTTTTTGCCCAAGATCCGCCTGTAGGGGGGCACGCCCGACCTAACCCGAGTGCTGCCTCGGACGCTTCAGGGACGGCCACCAAGACGGCCTCCGGGCTCCCCTGGGTGTCCGCAGGGCTCCCAGAGCCGACCTCGAGCGCTCCCGAGAGGCATCCGACAGGCAAACAGCACCGATGCGCCGTAGAAATATGCATTGCTTTCGCGTGCTCGCTCTTTCGGGGCTGTCCAAGGCAGCCCAAGATCGATCCCAGGCGGCCCATAACGGCGCCAAGAGGGCCTCAAGAGGGCCCCAAAAAGTCTCCAGCGAGCCCCGAGTGGATCCCATGGCCCATGGAGGCCCTCCCACACACCCCAAGACGGCCAGACTGCTCCGTACGTACAAAGTGCGGACAAATGGGCGCGAGAGTCAGAGGATGGGGAGTATGGCATAACTACAGGGAGGACTCCGAGGGAGAGACGGGGGTGATTTCCTTTGGTCGCAGGCTTGCCGCGGTGGAGGCGGCAGACTTTGGCGGCTGGGGCTGCAGATTAGACAGACGGGGCACGGGGAAGGAATAAGGCGGCCGCAGCGGCCGCAGAGGGGGGCGGGGGCTCAGTTGTTCCGGAGAGCGTTGTGGGCTTGTTTCTTCAATTTTTCGGGGGTGGACAGAGCCCCCACCCTACACGTCGATTAGTGAATTGTCCGTTTTCGGCTCTCGAGAGGGCGCCGCGGCCGTCATTTTCCAGGCTTGCGCCCGCGCCAGGTTTGGGCCCGACGTCGATTTCGCTAAACCACGTTTTACTAAAGGGGGTTTTGTCCATCCCCGAATTTGCCACGTGTCGCGCTCGACTACGGACACGGCGCCCTGCAATGTGCATTGGCGTACCCGCAATCGTATGCCGAACGACTATCTGAGACGGAAAGACAGAACGAGCAGGTGGGCCACGGGCCGATCCCGGACTTGAAGACGTAACGAAACAGCACGCGAAAGATACGGGAAGGCAGCCGTCGACCCTGGAAACAAACAAACACGCCCACAGCGCTTTGAAGATCCTCCTGGTGTCGGAGGTGGATGAACCTTCTGCCCCCACACGTCGATTAAGGAATTTGCCGTTTCCGGTTCGCGAGAGGGCGCCGCGGCCGTCATTTTCGCTGGTCCAGGTCCGCCGGTTTCGGTCCCAGGCCGTTTTCACTAAGTGGAAGTTTACAACAATCGCGCCCACAGCGTTGTTCAGATCTTCCTGAGGATCGGGGGCGGCCAAGAGGGGGGTGATGACTAGGGGGGGTTGCATATCATGGCGCGGGCCATGACATTTCCCCAGATTCCATGGTGCCTCTTCTTCTTTCATTGCGCCCCCCCCTGGGCCGTGATTTGCGCACCCCCCTCTTTGACGCCCCCCTCTTGGCCGCCCCCGAAAGGTTGGGGGGCGAGCATTGGAAGCAACCGCGTGAGACGAGGGCAAGGGGCACGTGTTCTGTACGAGGGAGCGGCGAGAGACGGGTGAGGAAAGCGGAGGAGTGGAAGATTCCTGGGGCGACTTTGGGGTTCTCTTCGCCATGTCTTGTTGGGCTCCACTGGCTTCTTGCAGCCATCTCGGGCCCCTTCGGGCTTGTTTGGGCGAGGTTCGAGGGCATGGGCAGCGTCTGGGAGCGCGTATGGGCCATCTTGGTCTGGTTTTGGGCCGTCTTGGAGACGTCAAGGCCTTAGACGGGTGCCATGTTGACCCGTCTTGGGTGCCTTGGGTGCCGCCTCGGGATTTCTAAGGGCTCCTGGGATAATCTTGGAATGTTCAGGTGGGTGGTGTCTCGGAGCCATCTTGAGAGGAAGGGAAGAACTGCAAAACCACAAGATAACCATCTGGGGAGCTGGCGGTCGGTCGCACGGTCGGAATAATACGGAGTGGGATGGCACCGGTAGGCATAGTGACAAGTTTAGGCGGTCAAGCCGTCTGGTGGATAAGGGCGAGGTTGTACACGTCGTTACGCCTTCCGCACTTCCTCGCTTATCTCATTCCATCTTCCTGTTTTCTTTTTGTGGTTGATTCCATCATCATCCGGTGCCCAGATTCGACACGCCGTCGGCACTGCTCCAGTGCGCCCGTGCTCGCGAGGGCAACACGAGGTTCTCGGCGCCCATCATCAACAAGATCACCAAGGAGCTGTTGAAGCGGGGGCTCATCAAGGAGGCGCTCCCGAGTCCAATCTGGCGCTGCAGCCAGCACGCTCCAACAAGGATTATGATACTCCAACCTTCCTTAGCCTTGATCACGAGAAAGAATTTCGAGCCCCCCAAAAATCACCGAAACTCAATGGTTTTCACTTGTCGGGCCCTGGGAGACACTCGTCCGACACTGTTTCGACACTTTCCGAGCGCTCGAGATGTGGTCCTTAGTGCGACGGGGGCACCATAAAACAAGGAGCCCTCTCTGCTCCAGAGGAGCTCCGGTTTCGGGGCCGCTCCTCCGATCCAGGCCGCCCTGAGCCCACTCGGGCCCCCGGCCCGCCGTGGCCAGCAGCGCCGGCGCCGTGCCCTCCTCCGCGCCCCCCGTGGCCGCAGGCGGGCCGTGGGCTCTCTCGGCCGCATGTGGGGCGGGCGGTGAGAGCCCCGTCACTCGGGACGTCCGACGCTCGGACGGCGCAGGACGCAGAGCTCGCCCCCTCCTCCTCCTCCTCCTCCTCCTCCTCCTCCTCCTCCTCCTCCTCCTCCTCCTCCTCCGCTCCTCCTCCTCCTCCTCCTCCTCCTCCTCCTCCTCCTCCAGCTACTACTCCTACTCCTACTCCTACTCCTACTACTCCTACTCCTACTCCTACTCCTACTCCTACTCCAACTCCTACTCCTACTCCTACTCCTCCTACTCCTACTCCTCCTCCTCCTACTCTTCCTCCTCCCTTCTCCCTTCTCCCTCCTCCCCGCTTCTCCTCCTCCTCCTCCTCCTCCTCCTCCTCCTCCCTCCTCCTCCTCCTCCTTCTTCCTCCCGCGTTCCCGTGGGTCCAGGCCTGTCTCAGATGGGGTCCGAACAGATGAGGGGTCGGGAGTCGGGGGATCGCACCGCCTCGCCGCATGGCTCGGCGTGGAGGCCGTGCTTCCCCACGCCCGAGGAGGGGTTCGGGGAACCCTTCAGCTCAGGGACCGCAGGGGCGTCCCTCCGCACTGCCGCGTCTCCTCGGCTAGCGTGCAGGCTGGGACGCCCTGGACCGCGCGGACAAAAGCTCCCAGTGCCCCGCGCAGGTGCGGGGGCCGCATGTGGTCAGCTCTTCTTGCGGCTCGGAGGACGGCCCTCCGCGATGAGGGATGGGAGACATTTTCTGCGGCTGGGCAGGTGCTGCCGCCGCCCGCTGCAAGAGTGAGGCGTCTCCTCCGAGGATGCCCTTGCAGGATCATCCTCGCATGCTTGCCTTCTTCGGCCCATCCCTGCACCCATGCCTCTTCGGATGCGGGGGATGCCTTCTCGTGCACACCTTCTCGGCCCATCCTTTGCAAGGGATGCCCATGCAAGGATGCAGGGGCAGGCCCCCCCGTTGCGGCCAATCCTCCGCCGATCTCGCCGGCGAGCCCCCTGGGGCTGCCCCTCTTGGCAGGCTGTGAGCTGGACCACCTGAGGGGCGCGGTGCGCGAAGTTCGGGCCCAAGGCGACACCACCACCCCAAGGGGTGTCACCTGCAGCGAGGAGGTCCACTTGACATCGCTCGGTCGAGTGCATTTTTCCCAACCATCCTGTGGTGTTGGGTCCTCGTTTTGAAGAGACGGTGCCCGCGTCCTCTCCTCTCCTCCTCTTCCCCCTCCTCCCTCCTCCCCCTCCTTGCCTCTGCTCTCGGCACACCTCTCACGCGTTTCGTAGCCCCATAGGGAGCTCCACCGAAGGCCCCAGTGGGGGTGTCCACATGCGGTTCCCCCACCCAGGGCAGCGTTTCGTGGCCCCATAGGGAGCTCCACCGAAGGCCCCAGTGGGGGTGTCCACATGCGGTTCCCCCACCCAGGGCAGCGTTTCGTGGCCCCATAGGGAGCTCCACCGAAGGCCCCAGTGGGGGTGTCCACATGCGGTTCCCCACCCAGGGCAGCGTTTCGTAGCCCCATAGGGAGCTCCACCGAAGGCCCCAGTGGGGGTGTTCGCATGCGGTTCCCCCACCCAGGGCAGCGTTTCGTGCCCCATAGGGAGCTCCACCGAAGGCCCCAGTGGGGGTGTCCACATGCGGTTCCCCCACCCAGGGCAGCGTTTCGTGGGGGTGTCCCATGCATAGGGAGCTCCACCGAAGGCCCCAGTGGGGGTGTCCACATGCGGTTCCCCCACCCAGGGCAGCGTTTCGTGCCCCATAGGGAGCTCCACCGAAGGCCCCAGTGGGGGTGTCCACATGCGGTTCCCCCACCCAGGGCAGCGTTTCGTGGCCCCATAGGGAGCTCCACCGAAGGCCCCAGTGGGGGTGTCCACATGCGGTTCCCCCACCCAGGGCAGCGTTTCGTGGCCCCATAGGGAGCTCCACCGAAGGCCCCAGTGGGGGTGTTCGCATGCGGTTCCCCCACCCAGGGCAGCGTTTCGTGGCCCCATAGGGAGCTCCACCGAAGGCCCCAGTGGGGGTGTCCACATGCGGTTCCCCCACCCAGGGCAGCGTTTCGTGGCCCCATAGGGAGCTCCACCGAAGGCCCCAGTGGGGGTGTCCACATGCGGTTCCCCCACCCAGGGCAGCGTTTCGTAGCCCCATAGGGAGCTCCACCGAAGGCCCCAGTGGGGGTGTCCACATGCGGTTCCCCCACCCAGGGCAGCGTTTCGTGGCCCCATAGGGAGCTCCACCGAAGGCCCCAGTGGGGGTGTCCACATGCGGTTCCCCCACCCAGGGCAGCGTTTCGTGGCCCCATAGGGAGCTCCACCGAAGGCCCCAGTGGGGGTGTCCACATGCGGTTCCCCCACCCAGGGCAGCGTTTCGTGGCCCCATAGGGAGCTCCACCGAAGGCCCCAGTGGGGGTGTTCGCATGCGGTTCCCCCACCCAGGGCAGCGTTTCGTAGCCCCATAGGGAGCTCCACCGAAGGCCCCAGTGGGGGTGTCCACATGCGGTTCCCCCACCCAGGGCAGCGTTTCGTGGCCCCATAGGGAGCTCCACCGAAGGCCCCAGTGGGGGTGTTCGCATGCGGTTCCCCCACCCAGGGCAGCGTTTCGTAGCCCCATAGGGAGCTCCACCGAAGGCCCCAGTGGGGGTGTTCGCATGCGGTTCCCCCACCCAGGGCAGCGTTTCGTGGCCCCATAGGGAGCTCCACCGAAGGCCCCAGTGGGGGTGTCCACATGCGGTTCCCCCACCCAGGGCAGCGTTTCGTGGCCCCATAGGGAGCTCCACCGAAGGCCCCAGTGGGGGTGTTCGCATGCGGTTCCCCCACCCAGGGCAGCGTTTCGTGGCCCCATAGGGAGCTCCACCGAAGGCCCCAGTGGGGGTGTTCGCATGCGGTTCCCCCACCCAGGGCAGCGTTTCGTGGCCCCATAGGGAGCTCCACCGAAGGCCCCAGTGGGGGTGTTCGCATGCGGTTCCCCCACCCAGGGCAGCGTTTCGTGGCCCCATAGGGAGCTCCACCGAAGGCCCCAGTGGGGGTGTTCGCATGCGGTTCCCCCACCCAGGGCAGCGTTTCGTAGCCCCATAGGGAGCTCCACCGAAGGCCCCAGTGGGGGTGTTCGCATGCGGTTCCCCCACCCAGGGCAGCGTTTCGTAGCCCCATAGGGAGCTCCACCGAAGGCCCCAGTGGGGGTGTTCGCATGCGGTTCCCCCACCCAGGGCAGCGTTTTTCGTGGCCCCATAGGGAGCTCCACCGAAGGCCCCAGTGGGGGTGTTCGCATGCGGTTCCCCCACCCAGGGCAGCGTTTCGTAGCCCCATAGGGAGCTCCACCGAAGGCCCCAGTGGGGGTGTTCGCATGCGGTTCCCCCACCCAGGGCAGCGTTTCGTGGCCCCATAGGGAGCTCCACCGAAGGCCCCAGTGGGGGTGTTCGCATGCGGTTCCCCCACCCAGGGCAGCGTTTCGTGGCCCCATAGGGAGCTCCACCGAAGGCCCCAGTGGGGGTGTTCGCATGCGGTTCCCCCACCCAGGGCAGCGTTCGTGGCCCCATAGGGAGCTCCACCGAAGGCCCCAGTGGCTGCTTCGCATGCGGTTCCCCCACCCAGGGCAGCGTTTCGTGGCCCCATAGGGAGCTCCACCGAAGGCCCCAGTGGCGCTTCGCATGCGGTTCCCCCACCCAGGGCAGCGCTTCGTGGCCCCATGGGGAGCTCCACCGAAAGCCCCCGTGGCGCAGTTCGCATGCGCTTCCCCCACCCAGGGCAGCGTTTCGTGGCACCATAGGGAGCTCCACCGAAGGCCCCAGTGGCGCAGTTCGCATGCGGTTCCCCCACCCAGGGCAGCGTTTCGTAGCCCCATAGGGAGCTCCACCGAAGGCCCGCCCCGGTGGCGCAGTCCGCATGCGGTTCCCCCTATCCAAGGCAGCGCTTCGTGGCCCCATATGGAGCCCCACCGAAAGCGGCACCCACAACGCGTTACCAACAATTGCTTATGGTTGGGTCTTTCGCCAGGATAATTTCTGGGTGAGAACCATGGAGGAGCATCCTGGATCATCGAACGTAAAAAACACGCACAAAACCAACAATTGCACAGGGAATGGACGTCCGAGCGATGGCAAGTTCATGATCCCTTCCCGAGCCAGGGATTCAGAGCCCCGGGTCATTAGGGCTGGGGGTGGTCAAAAGTAAATCTCCAAATTCGTGCCTCGCGGGCCCAAACCGGAGTCACACCGGACCGCAGTTATCCCGGATAACTCGGGCGTCCAACCACGCCCCAAGTCATCACGGCTTGGGGCAGTCAGGGGTAGCTACAGATTCGCGCCTCGGGTGCCCATACTGGAGCTACCCCGGACTGCAGGTACCCCGGATAACTCGGGCGTCCTTTTTCCATGATGCCTTCCCGAGCCAGGAATGCGGGAGGTCTCAGGGGGGAGCCCACACCACCAGCAGGACCCTTCTGGATTCTCGCGCTGCTGGTGGTGGAGTCGCCCTTCCTTGCTCCTGGAAGCTGCACCCGCGGTCCTCGATCATGCAGGGGATGATGGTTAAGAAACTGCCCTGGGGTCGTGAACACGCGGCGGCGATCGGCATGATGATTGTTAAACATTGGCCTCTGGCTGGGGAATTATTGCTAAGGCCTTACGGCCGGTGCCGCCGACCCTGAACACGACGACGACGAATACGAGGAGGAGGAGGAGGGGGATTAAGGTGGAAGGGAGCAGGAGAAGGATGATTGTTAAACATTGGCCTCTGGCCGGGGAATTATCTTCAGCAGTGTTCGCTCCCGCCCCCTTCGTGTTGCGCGCCTGCACGGGCTGCGGGCCGGACGGAGCCGAAGTGAAGCGGCAGCCGAAGGCTCGGAAGTGATCTCGTGAGTCGTTTCCCCCGCGCTCGTTTTCTTAATCTGAAGTCGGGCCTGTCCCTGTACAGGGGGAATATTCAAAAATAGTTAGAAAATGCCTGGGGACAATGTTTTTACTATTTTTGGGTATGTCTTGCTTATGTTCTGCGTGTTTATCGTTGTTCGTCCAAAATCACCCTGTAGGGGGACACGCCCGACCTAATCTTAATCGTCATCTTGCCATCAAGGCAAGGGGGAGGAGGATCGGTGGTCCATCTTGTTTGAGGCCTCTCGTCTTCAGGGCCCCGTCCCTCAGGGCCGATAAAAGGAGGAGGAGGAGGAGGAGGAGGAGAAGGGCGAGCATGGGGGTGCTCCTGCACCGCCGCGGCAGCTCCCTCTCTCCCTCTCTCTCTCCCTCTCTTCTCTTCGTTTTTCTGCTGCCCTACCTTCCTCTTGTCTCTCTCTCTTTCTCTCTCTTCTCCCCCTCTCTCCCTCCCTCCTCTCTCTCTCTCTCTTCTCTCCGTCTCTCTGCTGCCCTACCTTCCTCTTGTCTCTCCCTCTCTCTCTCCCTCGCTCTCCCGGGCCCTCTGCAGTGTGGGGCCACCGCCACGTCGACGGCTCGGAAAGACTCCGCCCGCCTCGCGGGCCCCCGGGCCTCCTCGGCCCCCTCCCCTGGGGCCGGTCCTTCGCCCCAGGCCGTCGCCTGACGCTCCCCGGGGCCCCCGAGGCTCCACGCAGCACGTCCGGCGCGGTGTTGTCCGAGCCGCCAGCGGTGTCTCCTGAGGCGCGGGGGCGACGTCCGAGGCGCCGTGGGGCCACGTCCGGGCCTTGCTGCGGCAGAGGGTGTGGGGCGGCCGCAACGTTGCCCAGGGCTTCTGGCCCTTCCCCCGGGGCCGATCGCCCCCCGCGAGCCGAGCTGTGGCGCGCCGCCAGGTGAAGTCGGCCCAGTTCAGGAACCGCAAGGTCTTCATGAAGATCGATGTCGAGCCGCTGGAGAAGGTCGCCAGCCCCAGAGGGGAGGGACGAGGGCGGAGGGAGGATCGGAGGACTGAGGACAGAGGAGGGGCAGAGGAGGACGGGGGGGGACCGATGAGGTGGCTTTGCGCGGGAGGAGGGGGGGAAGAATTGGCATCGGAGCAGGGGAGAGGGGGTGCGAGGGGTGGGAGGAGAGAGAGAGAGAGAGAGAGAGCATAGGCCCCAGTGAGGGGTGGGAGGAGGAGGACGAGGGGCCCAGGGAAGGGGGGGGACCTCCAGCCAGCTGAGCCGAGGGAGGCCCTCCAGCGTCCCTGTGGCCAGACAGAGATCTGCTGGACACCGGCCCGCCACCGAGCCGGGGGGTCTCGCGCGCTGCTGCACGGGCGAGCCCTGGCGTGCTCAGAGGACGCCGTGCCAGCTTCGCAGGAGGAGGGCGGCGGAGCCTCCGCGCGCCTCCTCCGTCCCCCTCCTTAGTATCGTTTAACCGATCCCCATCCCCATCCCCTTCGAGACCCCCACCAAATTACCACCCCAGTTTGGGATACACCCCTCGAAACCCGAAGGGGACAGCCTATATCCCCATCTAGGGGGGTAAATCGGCCATTGGGGCCCTGGCCACGCCTCTGGGGATGGGGATCGGATAAATAAACGATACTGACCTTCGTCTCCGCCGGGCGGGGGGGTGGGGAAGGCACGGGGAGGCGGGAGCCAGAGGTGTCACGGAGGCGTCGATGGCGGAACGCCCCGTCCGCGGAGGAAGAAGCCGTGGCGCCTGGGCCCCCTGGGGGAGGCGGGGGCGCAGGAGGAGGCAGAAGGACGGTTTGCGGACCCGCTCTTGCCCTCGGCGGGAAATGTGCTGCGCCTCAGTGCCCATTTCCGCCGACTCCCTTCCTCCAAAATTGTGACGCCCGGAGAGAGAGAAAAAGCGAGGAGGCAGACGGACAGAAGGAGCATTGTTTTGGACGGAGGAGGCGGGAGGGGAGGGGAGGGGAGGCCCAGACATCGACTTGCACGTGAGGTCCTCGCCATCCCGCATACGGAGGCCGGTCTCTGGGCCCGCGGCCTGTCGAGGAATGGCTTGAGTAAGGAACACTAACCTTTCAAGAGGGGCCGGGTCGTTCCTTTGGTTTGCATGCGTTCCGCTGCCTCTTTTGCGTCGAGCCCCCCTGGTGCTCCTTCGGACTTCCTAGACTTCCTTGGGCCAAAAAAGGGGCTTCGTTCCTGATGTATCGTTCCATTGGTCAGGCCGAAAACTGTTCGGAGGTTGATAGACCTTTCTACCCTGACACGTCGATTCGTGAATTGGCCGTTTTCGGTTCGCGAGAGGACACCGCGGCCGTCATTTTTGCGGGTCCAGGTCCGTCGGTTGCGGCCCTAGGCCGTTTTCACTACAGGGAGGCTTACTCAAGGGAGGTTTGTCCGCCGCCGAACTGTACCAGGAAAATGGTCGAGAGCTCCTGTCGAGGGAGCGCGCCCACGTGTCCAGGGCGCGCGGATGAGGCGACGGGTCGCGTTTCCACACGAGATCGGCGCGCTCCGTGGCCAAACACCGCGCGGCCTCGGCGCCACGTCTCGGGGGGTTGCGTTCCCCGACCCGTGGATGATCGGCACGAACGACATGGGTACGGAAAGAATGGGTAGAATGCCCAACAGCGGTTCTTGTTGGCCCTGCTGCACCCCTCGGCACGAAGGAGGTGGGGACGGACAGAGTGGGTACAACGTCCAGAAGAGTTCTTGCTCATTCTGAAGAGGACTCGCTGTCGGTGGTAGTGACCTTTGGGTGCGGGCCCGCAGGGCTTCCCGCAGCACTGGCCTGCGCGGTTGGATTTGGGCCCGCCCGCGGAGCCCTGCAGCCGCGCACCAGAGACCACTCTTGCCGATGGTAACTCTCGCGAGCAGCTGATCTTTTTTGCGCGGCCCAGACATGAGTCTCCAAGCTGCACGTGCCTCAGACCCACGTTCCCCTTCCTCCTCCCCCTCCTCCGACGCTCTGCAGCGTGTCTGTTCTGAGCACGTGCGCAACGCATTTGGCCCGTGTCGCAGCGGCGCCACCCGCTCCTGCGCACGCCCCACATCCCCGCCCCATCGAAAAACTTAAGATCCCAACCGGACGTTTCATATCCCAACAGGACGGTTCAGATCCCAACCAGTAATACAACCAGAACGGTCCAGATCCCAACCGAGCCCACTCGAGCTTTCAGGCGCTTCATAGGCCCTTCGTAGGCTCTCAATCGGCTTTTTCTAGAAGGCGCCTCCCTGGTTTCGTGAAGGATTCTCTGGGGTTTCGCTTCGGCTTCCTCAGATATTCCTGAGGATTCTTCACAGATTCCTGGAGGATTCCTGAGGGATTCGTGAAGCGCGATGGATTCCTGCGGATTCCTGGAAAAGATTCCAGAGGGACTCCTGTCTTGAGGATTCCTGAGGAGTCGTCCGGATCATTATGAATTCCGGAGGGTTCCTGAAGGAGTCCTGAGGAATTGGCTTCGCGTGTTGCTACCAAGCCACTTTGCGGCCTGATGTATGGACGGGCGGCCTTCCCACAGAATTCGTAAATATGTTGTTTGCTTTCTTTCAACAGGAATCCAGTTGCAAATGTGCCAGCCCCAGCCCCCGCAAATTCTTTAACATGGTTTTGTGTATCCAATCGGAGTCAAATATTACATGCGACGATCACAGCCTCCACCTGATTTCTTGAGTATTCTATTTGTTTGTGTCAAGCACAGACAATGAGTATGACACGCGCCGATCCCAGCTTCTAGTATAATTATTTACTATTCTCCTCGTTTTCCATTCGATGTTCAATCAGAAATGCGCCCACCCCAGCCTCCCGCAGGGTGCCCACATGTTCATTTGCCATCGAGAATCCAGTTGGAAATGCGCCGATCCCAGCCTCCGCCAAACATGCAACGTTCTGTTGTTATTCAATTGGGATTCAAGAAGAAACGCGCTGGACCCAACCACCCGCAGGAGTGTTTAGTATTTTCTGCTTGTTTTGGTTTGTGCTTGAATAGGGCATGCGTCGATCATAGCCTCCAGCGGGATTATTTACTATCTTATTCGTTTTTGAATCGGACGCCACAATATAGTACATGCGCCGACCCCTGCCTCCAGCAGACTTCTTTCATATTGTGTTTTTTTGTCCTTCGGACTTCAATGCGAAATGCGGCGATCCCAGTACCCCGCAGGATTCTCCAACGTTTTACTTGCCCTGCAATCGAACATCCAGTAGGAAATGCGCCGATCCCAGCGTCTAGCTGAATTCGTCAATGTTGTAAGTGTTCCAATCGGAATTTGCAATGAACATGTGTAGACCCCAGCCTCGAGCAAACTGATTGCAGATGCTGCTTGTTTTGTTGTAAACGGGATTAAGTAGGAATTGTGCCGACCACAGCCTCCAGCAGGATGATTTTCCATGGTCGATGTGTGTGTATAAGTGCGTGTGAGTGTTCCAATCGGGATCAGGACGATCTGCGAACATTCCAGCTTACCACAGAATTCTTTCATACTTCATTTGTGTGTCAATGGAAATTCAAAGAGGGATGCGCTGGCACCAGCCTCCCGCAGAATGTTCTCATGCTCTTTTCGCTTTCAGTAGGAATTCAATGTGACACGCGCCAGCCCCAGCCGCCCCCCGGATTCCCTCATGCTCTGTTTACTTGTGACTCGGCATTCAATGGGAAATACGCCGGCTGGTCTGCTCCGTGCGCACCCGCGCACGAAGCGCCCAGCCTGATTGCAAGGTGCCCGGTAGAGCAGTGAGCGCCATGAAGAACCGCATGGTGGATTCTGAGGTGTACGAGCGCCGTACTGCGTCGCTCTGTCACTACTGCTGCATCCTAGTCCTCATGGCGAGCTTGCTGGCCTATCCGCTGGGCGTGCCGATGGGGGTCTATTGTTTCATTGGCTTCTCGGCACTCTGTCCAGCGCCGACCCCGCCGCTCTCGCTTGCGCCTGTTGGCGGTACCGCGCTCCGGGCCACCCCTTAAGGCAGCTGGCACTACAGGCCAGCACGGCTTCGGCGATGTCCCTGCCGCTTCAGATGTCCCACCTGACCTGTTGTTGTCAGAATCATTGCTGTCCTCCTTCCCATCGTGTCAGCAATTCAATGAAGTGACGGGTCTCTGCGAGTCTGATGTGTCATTTACCAGCGTTCATCTTGACACACATTGATCAGAGGCTATGGCCGCCTTGACGACCAGGCGCGCCACCAGCACGTCCACGCTGACGACCACTTCTCATCCTGGCATCGTTGATGGCGGTGTTCCCCCGGCGGGCAACCACCCTGGCAGCGGCGGCCAGAGTTCCGTGCGGGGACATCCCGACATCGATCCGGCGTCGGCTTGGGGCGGCAGGTATTCACACTGCGCGTCATGGATCGAAGCCGGCAGGGCGTGCGGTTTCTTCGCACAAGAGCCCATCGAGGTCTTGCCGAACCTTGACACGACCGCCTGTAGTCCATACGCGGCGTGGCATGGGCCACCGTTGTTCAGCAAGTTCCATTCGATCAGTTTTCTCGTGCTGGGCAGTTCCTGGGGGGATAGCCAGACGTGTAAGATCGCGCCTTCTGGAATGCCCTCAATAGGGTCCCTCCGGCTACGGGCGGGCCCGCGCCCGACACTTGCAATTTTTGTCTTCGCGAGGAACTCTTCTGCACGCCAGTGCAACTCCAGCATTGCAAATTGCAGCGCCAGAAGTGGCCCTGAAGCGCTTTGCTGGAGGAGGCGCTGCAACATACCTGAACACCGCGACGTTTATCGTCTGGGCGATGGCGACCCTCACCTGCGCCTTCAGGCCCATAGCCAATCTCACGCTCATCGCGAGTATCCATGCCTTTGCAGCGGCTAGTTGCAATTTGCGCGCATGGTTTGCCATTGATGTACCTGTTCTATGTCATCGCCACTATCTTGACTGCTCAGAGCGCGCGCGCTGCTGTGGCGATCACGTCTGACATCCTGTCGGGCGCCGATTGCGCTGCATGAGCCTTCACCGTGTTCTACACTTGGCACGTGGCATCGACCGGGCTCCTCATTTGCGATGATTTCCTCCGCGCGACCATCAATGACTGGCTGCAATGGAACAGCCGCCTCGTGCAGTGGGGGCAGATGGCGCCTTTGACGATGTTTGTCATCGCACAAACCGCTCTCTGTTTTGCGCGGCGCGGGGCGAGGGCATCATGGGTTCTCGCGCCCCCGGCGCGGCGCCATGCGATCGTCGGCCGCAGCGTCGCGAAGGCGGGGTGGGGGCCGACCTGGGCCGGGCTAGCAGCGACGAAATGTTGCGCCCCTCGTCGCCGCAGCAGTGTAGTCTAGGCGGGCGAGCCTGGCCCAATATTTCAACTTGTCAACATCGTATCGGACGTTGCACGCTGCAGATGCAGAAGCGGCCCCTTGCCGCGATCTTCCCTCTTTCGCCGCATTGCGCCCTCGGGGCGTCGCATTTTGCGGTCTCAAGAAGTCGCCGCAGCGATGTCAGAGCGCAGGGGTCGCACAAGGGCGCCCTTTGTCACGTCGCTTATGAGTCTTCGTAATGTCCATTATGCTGCAAGCTGCGGGCGCCGAGCTACACGAGAACAGCCCCACGAGAGTCAACCAGCCGCGCGCCATTGCGGAGGACATCTTCTGCGCCGTCGACACGCGGTTAATAGCGGGGAACCCAGGCGCTCTTCAAACCCACTTGCACGTCATTGCGTACGTTGGGAAGGGAAAACGTTCGGTTTGGAGTTGGACGTTGGCAAGGCGGCGCTCTTGAAAGCCCGATGTGATGCGACTATATATGGGCCCGGGGGCGAGCTTATTCAATGCCGAGAGCGCGCTATATCTCTGGGCGGCTTTCTCAGCGCCGATGGGAACCCAAAAACCGAGCTTGCGCGGCGCCTATGCGAGGCAAAGGGCGCATTTCAATAGCTAAGTGTTGCGCGGGGCCGTGCAAATCTGCGCCGCCGGCGAAAAGCGGTGACACTGGGCGCGCGCATATGTTCGAAGCTACTTTACGGGCTAGAGTATTTCATGTTGCTCGTCGCTGATAGGGGCAGGCTCAATGGTTTCCAAGCGCCGCGCCTACGTGGGATCGTCAAATCCCCCCAGCCTTTTTGTCGAGGGCGAGCAATGAAGAAGTTAGGGCCACGAGTGGAACTGCGCGGCTGTCTTCGACATTGCTGCGGCGGCAGTTGGTTTATTCGGGGCAATTGGCTCGCGATCGGCCCGGCGCACCCCCCCAGGCAAATGGCTTTTGACAAGCATGCAGGTTCTTGCCGGAAAGATGGAACATATCACGGAAGCAAGGGCGCCCCCGCCGGCAGAGGATGCATTGCGCGCGCGCGAGGTCTGAGCCTAGCAGGAGATTGTCCAGATAGCCTGCAGAGCATTGCGAGGCCCTCCCGCATCTTGGGGAGTTGCAGTTGTGCGGCGCTGCAAATCTGTGTAGTTAGTGCGTTCCTCCCGTTGCCCTTGTCATCCTTTTCCCTCCATCCTGTCCATCCTGCCCTCCTGCTTGCATTGCAATGCGCTGGCGCATTGCCTACCTCCGCCCACCACTGCTCAATTCAGTGGCCGTGTTCTGGCGCGCGTGCACGTAGCTGGCATATCTTCATATGTTTCGTGGCCTTCTATCCAGTGCAGCTGTCTGCCGATGCGCCGTCTAGGCGCGGCCTTTTCCAGTTCACTCCTGTATGCGTTGCGCATGAGTGTCATATATGTTTCAGATACGTTTCGTCGCACATCTTGTCTCGCGCGTTTCACTCACGCGCCCTCCATCTATTTCAGATGCGCGCCATTTGCATTTCATCTGCGTTTCACGATTGTTCTATACACTTTTCGTGTCGGTTTCTTGTTCGGACCAGATGCGTTTCATATATCAGTCGTATTTCGCTTCATTCCCGCCTAGTACATTACCCATTTGCGCGTCATATACGTTATATTTCAGTGCCGTGTACGTTTCGACACGTTCGTATACGTTTCATCGACGTGTCAATTACGTGGTGTTTGCTGTCCGCATACGTTTCGCATGCGTTGCGTATAGGTGCCGCATGCGATTCGTATCCGTTCGTTTTTCGCGCCCCATTCGTTTCGTACGCGTTCTATAGTTTGTTGTATATGTTTTGTATACGTTGGTATCCGCTGCCATCCTGGAGTGCGTTGAGCCTTCTTGGCGCCGTCCCAGATCATTTGTAATTTGCATTTGGTAGGGTAGTGGAACGTTCTAGATCCCTACTGCCTATGGAAGCCGAGCGAGTTCTCTTGATCTTGAGGAATACCATTCGGTTTTCACGACCACTATGATCATACACAACGGTTTTACAAACTGTTATATTCCGGCGGTTGGGGTCTGTACCGTTCTGGTCTTCCGTCTGGTTGGAATACGAACCGTCCGTTTGGATCTGAATCGTTCGTTTGAGATATGACCTTTTCGCCACCCGATCCCCCTTTTCACTGCGTGCGGGGACAGCAAGCGACCGCAACCACATCGAGGACACCTTGGGGGACGTCGCGCGCATGCCCACAATCATTGGAACACCGACGCTAGCTTTGCATACTGTTTGTGGTCGATGTGACGTCCCGGGACGGCCAGTCCGACCATCACCACAAACACCGCCAGAGTGCGCATGTCGGGGTCGGTGGGCCCTCTCCCGAAGGGCCCCTCCAGAAAACTCAACTTTCTTTGATAGGCCTGGTTTCCACCACCACCATAAGTTGAAGGGGGAGGGGGTCCTCCACCTCCTCTGCCACCTCCTCCTCCTCGTCCTCTTCTTCCCCGTCCTTCTCCTCCTTACTCGTTATCCACCTCCTCCCCCCTCCATCTAATGGTGGTGGTGGTGGAAAACAGGCCCATCATTCTTTGAAGTTGTGCTTTTGTGTTGCGCCCGGCACCCGAGGTGTCCGGAGGCAGGTGGTACCACAACGGCGAGTGGGACGCGGAGCTCGTCGCGTGGATGACCGACCTGTGCAGGCGGCGCATGTGCACCGGCTCGGGCGGCCGCCCCAGATCGGCCACGCGCAAAGCAGGGGCAGGGGGAGGGGGGAAGGCTGCTTGGAAGCACCCTCGCTTCTTCGAAGGCGCGGGCCTTCGCTATAGGTGCAAGGCCGGCGCCTTCGAAGAAGCAGCCTCCCTCTGAGAAGCCTCCCCCCTCTCCCCCCTTTCGCCCACCCCCTCGTGCGCGCCGCCGACCAGAGCCCGCGGGCCCCCCCGGGCCGCCCGCGGGGGCGCGGCGCGAAGGCGAGCGCGTGTCGCGCCGTCGCGGCCTGGATCGGGGAGTCCGTGGGCCCCGCTCTGGTTGACCCAAAAGGGGCTCCAGCGGAGAGAGGGTGGTGCAGCAGATCTGGTGCAGCAGATTCGTGGGGTCGCAGTAGATTTTGGGCGCGCGATGCATTCGGCTGCGCTGGTGAATCGCTGGATTCCCGCGTGCAATACATTCGTTGCCATCCAATGCAATAGAATTCTCCGGCGCAGTAGTGTCTAAAACCTATCCGAAAAATGATGACACCCCCCCCTCCCCGTCCCAGATCCCGAGTGTCATTAATTCGCCGCCGAACGATTATTTGTTTCATTGCCCCCCTTGAAAGATTCCACGGGGACCGAACGATGCGATTCATATTGGCACACATGTATGTTTGTTTGCATGTATCTGTATACACACGCACGCACGCGCATGTATTGGCTTATGCGCATGAGTTGTATGGGTGCAGATGTGCAGGCTACTTTGGTCGACGAGTCGGTACTTTCATCTTACTGGGACACTGTACGTACGTGCGTGCGACTGCGCGCGCGTGCGCGCGGTGGCGTCCAGCTCCCGCGCGCGGTGTGAGGCTGAATGGGCTTATGTTGGCTCGCAGAACCCCAGATTTATGATTAGTTGTCCTCGCGAAGTTTCGGGGGTGACACGTGCCACCTGTTGTGTTTGTGAGACTGGATGGTTTTCTATTAGCTCCAGAATCCTAAATTTACCCTTGGTCTTTCTCTCACCGTCTCGGGGGTGACACGTGTCGCCCTTTGTTTTGTTAAGCTACATGGCTTTATGTCGGCCCCCATATTCGCAGTTATACCATTGTTTTGTTGTCAGACGGTTTCGGGGGAGACGTGTCATTTGTTGTCTTTTTGTGAGGCTGAATGGTCTTATAGTGGCTTCCAGAATCCCAATTGTACAATTGGTTATTCTCACACGGTTTCGGGCGTGACACGTGCCACCCGCTGTTTTTTTGTGAAGGTGAATGGCCCCCCAGACTCCCAGAATTACATGTAATATATATATATATGTATCATGTAATATATATATATATATATATATATATATATATATATATGCGTGTGTACATATGTATATATGTCATTTCTATATAGGTATATATGTATATATATATATATATATATATATTATATATATATATATATAAAAATATGATTCCGATGGTGACACATGTCGCCATTTTTGGGGGGATGATGATTGGCCTTCTGTTGGACGCGGAGCGCCAGGGCAGTCGCGGGGACGTCCCCGGCTGTCTGGTTTGCCCCGCCTTCCTTTCTTTTTGTATATGTGCACTACAGCATTGGAGCCCATTTTCTGACTCTTCGCGATAAGGCCTGTTACTGGCGGCGCCCCCACTCCCCTGTAGAGTCACGATTCGCGCTGGCGGCGTCTGGGAATGCGTTAAAAAGTGCCATGCTGCTAAGGCGAACATACAGATCGGAAAAGCAATGGTATACAATTGCGCTGCTATCGCTACTACTACTGCTACGACGACTGGTCATTTTAGAATCAGCACTATTACCTGGAGTTGTTCTTCTACAACTACTACTATTCTCATTACTACTACTACTACTACTACTGCTACTACTACTGCTGCTTGTGGTACTGATACTGCCACTGCTACTGCTTTTCCACTACGACTACCACTGCAACTGGCACGACTACCACTACTACGACTACTGCTACTACTACTACTACTACTACTACTACGACTACTACTACTACTATTACTACTACTACTACTACTACTACTACTACTACTACTACTACTACTACTACTACTACTACTAGTAATATTATGATTATTACTATCACGATTACTATTACTACTATTACTATTACTTTCACTTCTACTACTAATACTACTAGTAGTAGTAGTTGTACTACTACTACTACTACTCCCACTACTACTACTACTACCACTACTACTACTACTACTACTACTACTACCACTACTACTACTACTACTACGACTACTGATACCACTACGAACGCTGCAACCGTTCCAACTGCTACCGGTACTGCTACAACAACAAGTTCGAATACTACCACAACCTTTACAAGTACGAGTACGAGTACGACTACTACTACCACTACTACTACCACTACTACTACTACTACTACTACTCCCTCTACTCTCACTACAACTACCATTACCACTACTACCTCTACCACTACCACTTTTACTATTATTACTTCCACTACTACTACTATTACTACTACTACTACTGTCACCACGATTGCCATCACTACTATTACTACGACTACTGCTATATACTACCACTACTACTACTACTTCTTCTTCTACTACTACTTCTACTACTACTACTACTACTTCTACGACTACGACTACTACGGCTACGACCTTTCTTACGACTACTACTACTACCACTACTACTACTACTACTGCGAGTACTTCTACTACCTACCATTACCACTACGACTACTAGTACTAGTACCACCACTTTTTTTACGACTAACATTGCATTTGCTCCAAGCGCGACTTCTGCTGTTAGTATGAGTATTAGCGCTACTAGTATGATTCCTGCCACTACTACTACTGCGACGACCACTACCACTTCCACTACTACTTTTTCCATGTTTAATAATATCCTTGCAGCTGCTCCAACTTGTACGGATACTGCTATAACAGCAACACGTACGACTATTACCACAACACTTACCAGTACGACTACGACTACGACTGGTATTTTTATGTTTACTACTACTATTGCCACCATTACCACTAGTACTACTACTGGAATTTTTAGTATTACTACTACTACTACTACTACTACTACTACTACTACTTGTAATAATAATACTACCGCTATTTCTACTACTACTACTAATATTACTACCACCGCGACTACTACTACTACTACTACTACTACTACTACTACTACTACTACTACTACTACTCGACCATTAACACTTCAACTGTTCCAAATGCTACGGGTGATGCTACACAACATCTACGTATACTACCAACTACGACTACGATTACGATTACGACTACGACAACTAGCTGTAGTAGCAGTAATACTAGCAGCACGCTTGTATACCATTACTTTTCCTATCTGCGTGTAGGCCCTGACAGCATAACACTTCATAGACGCCACCGGCGCGAATCGTGACGTTACTGGCCCCCGCCCCGCCCGGTAATGGCCGTTAGCGTCGAAGAATTAAACATTGTTTTGGGGATGTATTTTTTAAGCTGTTTCCCCATATTGATTGTTTAAAAAATAACGTTTTTTTTGAACATTACATTTGCAACGAAATTGCCACAATTCTATGGCATAACCTCCTTTCAGCTTGACCCCCTTGACGATCATCTAACCGCGGCGGCACCGAGCGGCCGGCGCGAGCCTCGCCTAGCGCGCGTCTCCGCGCCCTTCACCGCCGCCGCCGTCGGTTTCTGGTTGACGCAATTGCGGGTCCAGCTACATGAGGGTGGTACAGCAGATTTGGTGCAACAAATTTGCGGGGTTGCAGTGGATCTGTGGCGTTCGACACCTTCCGGGGCGCAAATATACTGCTGGTTGTTTGGCATGCCACGCACGAGATGCAGCACGATGCCGTACACTTCTCTTTTGCAAAACATTTGGAAGAGATTCGCCCCAAGTCTATTGCACCCCCCCTTTCAGCTGGACCCCCTTCTGGGTCAATCAGACGGATGCCTCGTCGTCGTCGCAGACGCCGCCGTCGGAGTCGTCGTCGTCCTCGTCCTCGACGGCGGCGGCGTCGCAGGCGGCGCATGGCCGCGACAGACGTGTATCGGGGCGTGCTGGCGTATCGCGGGTCGCGGCGCGCGGAGTCTCGCAGGGATCGCCGGTCGGAGCGGGGGATACCGGCCTCATCTCGGGGGCAGCGGCAGGAAGGGGTAATTAGGCTCAGAAGAGGAGGTTCGAGGTTTTCGGACAGTTTCATGGGTTCCCGGCGGTTCTCCACTGTCGGGATGCGTTCCAGCAGCTGCGCCTCGCCGAGAGCGTTCTTGGGGTGCCTGGATCGTTCCGAACCCCTCTGGGGAGTCGAGCTATGACCCGAAAACCACGGGCAACGATGGGAGGATGGGCATAGGGGGGAGGATGCATCGACCCTAAATGGCCCATGCATCAATCGCCGATGGGGGCTTGACAGCCCTCCCCATCCAGGAGTTTGCAGATGCGCGATCGGGGCCTGTCGCCGATCTACCAGCGATGTATCGCCGATTCCATGTCGATGGTCCCCCCCAACGTTCCCCCCCAGTTTCGCTGATGAAAAATGACAGGTCCAAATGAGGGTACCCTAATGTTCGTCGTGTTTGTTGGATGGTCTTGCGCATCCTGGGGAAGGGTACCCTCGAGTGATTTTTTTTGAGTCCGGTGGGCCGTCGGAGGATCTCATGTTCTTGAAGGACGGTCTTCTGTCATTGGTCCGGCCGTCGTTTGGAACGGCGCGCCTAGGCGACACCGTCTACCTGCGGGATATCCACGAGTTTGTCATGAGACATCCTGGGCCCAGGAGGCAGCCGCCCACCATCGACCACGTGGAGGACGTCATGAGGCATGCCCCTCCCCCTCCCCTCTCTCTTTCTCTACCGTCCGCGTTGCGTTGCCCTCGTTTCCCGGCCTTCTTTCTGCCCTCGTCGCGACGACTGTCGTCGGTCGTCGGTCGACGGCCGACGGCGACGACGACGACGACGAGAACGACGGCGGTAACGGCGGCTGTCGCGACGACGAACACGGCGACGGGACGGCGATGACGACGGTGGCGGCGACGGCCACAGCCACGGCCACGGCCACGGCCACGGCCACGGCGACGACGGCGACGGCGACGACGACGGCGACGGTCGTCGGTCGACGGTCGACGGACGACGACGACGACGACGACAAACACGACGACGGCGATGGTGACTGCGGCGGCGGCGGTGGCGGCGGTCGTCACCGTCGCCGTCGCCGTGGCCGTGGCCGTGACTGGCCGTGACTGTGGCCGTCGCCGCCACCGTCGTCATCGCCGTCGCCGTCGCCGTGTTTGTCGTCGCGACCGCCGCCGCCGCCGCTGCCGCCGCCGCCCCCGCCGCCGCCGCCGTCGTCGTCGTCGTCGTCGCCGTCGTCGTCGTCGTCGTCGTCGTCGTCGTCGTCGTCGTAGCGACCGTCGGTCGACGACCGACGACCGACGACCGTCGTCGTGGTCGCCGCCGACGCTGTCGCCGTCGGTGTCGTCGCTTCCACAGCCACCGCCACTGTCGTCGCCGTCGCCATCGCCGTGGTGCTCGTCAGCATCGTTGTGCTCTCCCCCCTTCCCCGTCCGCTCACTCTCTCCCCATTTAATGTGTCTTCAGTCTCCGAGCGACCCTCGTTCGATAATTCGGAACATGGGCGTCAGTTGATATGGCCTAATGGACCCGAGGGCCTAGCGCGGGGTTCATCTCGGGCGTTCCTTGTGTCCTGGGCGCCATCGATTACTCGAGGGTGTTCTCGTGATTTGTTTTCGGGTGATGTGGTGATGCTGTGTAAATGATGGGGTAATTTAGATTTTTGTGTATATGTTATCATTGTGCTTTGTTTGAATGGTTGGTTGAAATACGTGTTGTGTTGGTAATTGTTGGTAAGTGCTGTCGGCGGAGGCGCCTGTGGAGCCGTCGTCACTGCCTTCGGCTGCTGGATGCAAATCAGCGAGTTGCCTTCTTTTGGTTCTCCAGCGGGCGCTGCGACCGCTGCCTTTGCGGTCGTTTTCGCTACCTGGTGTTTTGCGAGAGTGTCCTCTGTCCGCCCCCCCGTGCTCCGATTCGGCTTGGTGAGCCCTCTGGGCCTCGAGAGGGCTGCTCTGGAAGCCATCCGGGCCCACCTGCCAGGGGCATCTCTGGCGGCGCCCGCACGATCCTCCGTGCTCCGCTCCGTGCATCACCAGCAGGTCCCTGGACGCTGGACGAGGAGACAGCTGTCGTCCTCCCTCGTTTCGTGTTGATCTCGCTTAGCAGCAGAGGCGGAACACAGATAAAACAAGGGAAATCGATAACCAAACGAAAACGTAAACTTTCGTTCATGTCGAGCCTTGTTCTTTGCACCGCCCCGCCCAGCAGGTCCTTGGAGCTGGACGAGGAGATCTGCTCCGTCGTTGACAGCAAGGGTGAGCGCCTGTACTCCGAGCGCCGGAGGGGCGCCAGCGGGGAGGCGCCTGGGGCCCGGGTGCTGCCCCATGGGCGGCCGGCCGCGGATGGGGCGCCCGGCGCCCCCCCCCCCTCACTGCCCCCGTCCCGCCCTCCAGGAAGGGTTCGGACGAAATTCAAGCAGTGGCGAAGCGTCCTAGCTCGCCTATAGGCCCACCAAAGAATGTTCTACGAACCGTTTTTGGTTTCGACGAAATGTTCCTAGAGCATTTCTGGCTGGGACAGCCCCGATGCCGCGATAAACAACCAGCTGCGAAAGGGCCCCCTTCAACCCGCGGGTCGGACGAAAGGGAGGGGGGGATCAGGGGTTCCCGCCCAGTGTGCAGGGGTCGGGAAGGGGAAATCGCCGGGTCTTGCCGCGCTCTTCGGGCACCCACACTCCTCTGGGGCCCGGGAGTCGCCCTGGCCGGCTGGCCGCGGAAAAGCACCCCCCGCTCCCCATACCCGCCCTCCAGGAGGGGGCACGACAAAAGGGAGGGATTGGGAGGGCTTGTTGCACGCGCAAGGCCAAGGGGAGGGAGGAGGAGGAGGAGGAGGAGGATGAGGAGGAGGAGGAAGAAGAAGAAGAATGCTGTGACTCCTGGGTCGTCCGTCGCAGACGTCGGACGTCCCGATGCCTTCGCGACGTCGGCCCCTAGGGCCTCTCAGGTCGGACGACAGTCAGGAGGGAATCAAAGAAAGCGCGCCATTGGATCACCCTGTAATTGAAAAGGGGGGGGTGCTCGCAGAACCCTCCCCTTCCCCCCTTCAAAGGGGGGGTGAGATTTTCGACCCCCCCCCCTCCCGCCCTTAAGTAGGGAGGGGGGGTCCCAACCCGGAAAGGGAGGGGGGTGTTCGCACCCCCCCCTCCCCCCCTTTGCGCCGAACAGGGGGCTGGGGAGCAGGGATAGTGAGTAGTGAGTATTCATGAGTGAGTATTGAGTAGCAAGTTGTGAGTAATGAGTTGAGTTGTGATGGCGAGTAGTAGAGTAGTGAGTTGAGTAGTGAGTGGCGAGTAGTAGATAGTGGATAGTGAGTAGTGAGTGGTGAGTAGTGAGTTGTGAGAAGTGAATAGCGGGTAGTGAGTCGTGGGTAGCGAGTAGGGCGTTGTGAGTAGTGAGTAGTGCGGAGTGAGTAGTCAATAGTGAGTAGTGAGTAGTGCGCAGTGAGTAGTGAGTAGCGAGTAGTGAGTAGTGGGTAGTGGGTAGTCGGGAGTGGTTTGTGAGCAGCGAGTAGCGAGTAGGGGGTAGCGAGTAGTGAGTAGTGAGTAGCGAGTAGGGCTTTGTGAGTAGCGAGTAGCGAGGAGGGAGTAGTCAGTAGGCAGTAGTGAGTAACGAGTAGGGAGTAGGGAGTAGTGCGTAGCGGGTAGGGAGGAGTAGCGAGTAGTGAGTGGTGAGTATTGAGTAGTGAGAAGTGAGAAATGGGATTTGAGTAGTGAGTAGGGAGTAACGAGTAGAGAGGAGTGAGTGGTGAGTACTAAATCGTGAATAGTGAGTAGTGAGTAGTGAGTAGCGACTCGCGACTAGTTACGAGCGGGTAGGGAGTAGTGAGTAGTGAGTATTTGCGTAGTGTGTGGTGAATATTGCGTATTGGGTAGCTAGTAAGGAGTAGCGAGTAGTGAGTAGTGAGCTCTGAGCAGTGAGTACTGTGAAGGGAGTAGCGAGTAGCGAGTTGCGAGCAGCGGGTAGTGAGTAGTGAGTTGTGGGCAGTGCGTAGTGAATAGTGACTTGTGAGTACTCAGTAGTGAGTAGTGGATAGTGGTTAGTGGGTAGCGAGTAGTGCTTAGTGGGTAGTGAGTTGTGGGCAGTGAGCAGTGAGTAGTGAGTACTGAGTAATGCTTAGTGAGTAGTGAGTAGTGAGTATTGAGTGCTGGGTAGTGAGTAGTGAGTTGGGAGTAGTGAGTACTGAGTGGTGAGTAGTGGGTAGTGGGTAGTGAGTGGTGGACAGTGAGTAGTGAGCAGTGAGCAGTGAGTAACTAGTAGTTACAAATGAGTAGTGTCTAGCGAGTAGTGGGTAGTGGGTAGTGAGTAGTGAGTAAGGAGTAGTGAGTAGTGTTTGGGCCTAGGGTTGGTTAGGGGTGGTAGTTGTGGTGGTGTTAGGGGTGGCAGGGGTGGGGTTTCGCAGCCATGGGGCGCCGTTGCGAAAGGGGGGGGGGGGGGGCGATTTTGGCTGCCCAAGGGGGGGAAGGGGGGGGGGTCCCCCGACGACGGACCGGGAAAGGAGGGGAGGAGGGGGGGTCCCTGACGACGGATCGGGAAAGGGGGGCAGGGGGGGGGTCCCCGACGACGGATCGGGGAAAGGGAGGGAGGGGCGGCCTCGAGGACTGGGAAGCAAAGGAAGGACGTATACCGTATAGACGTACACGACTCCACGCTGGCTTCGAGAGTGCACATTCCGCAAACGTTCGTATCACGCGACTGGTTTCGCGGAGACCGTGGGGGGCGTGTTCATGTACGTGGGTGGGCGCGTACGTTGGAAGCGTGGAAATGGGCACCAAACCCAACACCATTGGTTGCCTCCACGGGAGAAAGATGATCCTGGAATTTTGGTGTTGGTGGTACTATTTCGGCCACCCGGGCCTGAATATTGCCACCATCGCCGAGATCGGGACCATCTTACCTCGGTGTAGGCACACTTCCGAGTAGGTCCTTGGTGGGCTTCGTAAGGACGAGAGACGGCTTCCAAATCGGCTTTGCTGTGTTCAAATCCTCCGCCACTCTAGGGTCTCGGCCCCCCCACTCCCGCTTTGGACGTGCCGAGGGGGGGGGGGGGGGGGCGAGGACCAGGGCTTTCCCTGTGCTGTGGGCCTCGGGGACCTCGGGATGGCCTCTGGCGGCTTCCGCCGCCGGTCGGTCGTTTGGAGACGGTGCGCCGCTCGCGGAAGATCATCGGAGACGCCCCTGTCGAACCACCGCCGGCCCCGCCTTTTCGAGACGCCTTGTTTCGGGAAAAGCCAGGTCCCCGGGGAAGGGGAGCCGAGCCGGTTAGTGAATGGGCCCTACCGCCAAACAGTCCATTGGAATCGCTCAACCAGATGTGGTGTTTCTTCGGGTGGCGGCATTTCTCGCCAGTGGAATGGGGCGGGGAAGCGTTCCCCCCGTACACACGCCCGATATGTGGGCAAACGTTGGGCGGAAGTACTGCCCAGTTATTGGGCGATGTGTGCAGAGGAGATGGGACGTCGGGGAGATGGGAGGGGGAGGAGGAACAGGAGGCTTCCCCGGGGCATCTTGGGACCTCCTGGGGGGTTTCCCTCGGCACCTTGGGGGCGTCTCTTGAGTGCCTCCTGGGGCCTCTTGTCTCTTGGGAGCCTCAGTGGGCCGTTTGGGGGCGCATATGAGTCGTCTTGGGGGCCGGTTGGGCTGTGATGCCGCCATCTTCAAGGCCTCTTGGGCCGTCTTGTGTTGCCTTGGGGCCTTGTTGCAGCCCGTTTGGGCCGCCTTGGGCTGTGGGAAGCCCGAAAACTAGAGGAGGCAACCATTTTCAAAACACTATGAGAACATCAATCAGATTGCTATCTTTGGGCCCTCCTAGATGTCCGCTTTGAATCCTCTCGAGCCGTCTTTGGGGGCCTTGGACCGTGTTGAGGGTATCTTGGGCCGCCCTGGGGACATTTTTGGGCCGTTCTGGAGGCATCTTGGACAACCATGGAGTCCTCCTGGTGGCGTCTTGGAGACTATCAAGGGCTATCTTCGACAGGATTGGAGCCAATAGGGTCCACCATCTTGGGGTTATCTAGTGTGGGAACGTCGTTGGTTCACCGATTGTACGGTACCTGAAGAATCGGCCGAAGGCATGGAGAATCGGCCGAAGGCATGTTGTAAAATTCGGCACGCCAAACATTTCTTCGCACGCAACAATGGTGTTGGAGCTAGCGACATTCGACCATCCCGCCACCCCGAGTGGGTTTTTGGCCGTAGGCCTGTTGCATATACATGTAGATTGGGGTCAATGGGGATCCCGATCGGTGGATCCTTGGAAACCCCTTGGGGGGTCTGTTGGGGGCCTCTTGGGAGCCTATCGGGGCCTCTTGGGCGCCTCTGGGGGCCTCTTCGGGTCTCTTCGGGGCCTCTTGGGCGCCTCTTGGAGCCTCTTGGAGACCTCTTGGCAGTCGCGGTGGCCATTTTGGCACAAGTGGCTCGTGAAGCGGGTTCGGTTCAACCCCCTCCATGGCCAAAAATACTCCACAACATATTGTTTATTCAATTGCTTTTGGGGATGGAGAAAGTCATGCTGAACACCCCATGCAGGGGCGCCCACGAGCGCCTGGGAAAGCCCCGAACTCGTAGGTCCAGGGCCCCGAAAGTAGTTTAATTCTTCAACATGGGAAATTCGAAGGGACCTGAGCACACTTCTCTCAGTGCCTCGCGACACGGTAGTAGATTCAGGACAGGAATTTTGAATTTCACGTGGACGCAAGCGGACACCTTTTCCGAGCGGGGAGAATTGCATGAAGTGCAACAATCGACGGCACCTTGCAAAATTTGACTTCGCGAGACATCAGCACGGCGAGGATGGAGGGATTTCATTGAATTGTCGTTATTCGCGAGGGCATGCCTAAGTGGAGCGCAGGCCGTTCACGTACGCTGACATTGTACATCCCCCTGCTGTCAAATCATGGGCAACCCTGTACACGCTGGAGACCCTGGGAACGTCCAGCGCATAGCCTGTTTGGGAGGAAGCGACGGGGAGGGATGAGTGGAGGGATGAGTGGAGGGAGGGAGGAGGGAGGAGGACCACCCCCCCCCGAGGCGTTCGACGTCTTCACCAGCAGGCTGCCGCTGAACAAGCGAAGGAGGGAGGAGGAGGACGCCCCCGAAGGACAGCCCCGCACCTGCTGGCCTCCCCTCCTCGTCCTGGGCTGGAGGGGGGATGGGCGACGCCACTACCAGCGTGACACTTCCAGCGAGGTCCACGCCGCCCCCGCCCGAGCTGGAGATCGGGGATTCGCCTCGAGCGGAACGCCGCAGAGCAGCGCGGCCAGGCCGCCCACGGGACCCTCCCTGGCCTCTCGGCGTGGAGGAGGAGGAGTAGGAGGAGGAGGGGGAGGAGGAGGAGGAGGAGGAGGAGGAGGAGGAGGAGGAGGAGGAGGAGGAGGAGGAGGAGGAGGAGGGGAGGAGGAGGAGGAGGAGGAGGAGGAGGAGAGGAGGAGGAGGGAGAGGAGGAGGAGGAGGAGGAGGAGGAGGAGGAAGAGGAGGAGGAGGAGGAGAAGAGGGAGGAGAGGGAGGAGGGGAGGAGGAGAGGAGGAGGAGGAGGAGGAGGAGGAGGAGGAGGAGGCTTCTGCTCCTGCGGGGAGGAAGGAGGCCGGGGGGCCTGGGAAGCAGCCGGGGGGTGGGGTGGGGGGGGGGCAGGGGCGCAGTCCTGCACGCAGGCGAAACATGGTCCAGGGGCCCCAGGCTCCCTCTCCCTGTAGCACCAGAGTACTCTTCGTGTACCCTCCCCCCTGCGGCCACCCTGGTCAAGCAAGGGCGAGCGCCTGTACTCCGAGCGCCGGAGGGGCGCCAGCGGGGAGGCGCCTGGGCAGGGGCCCGGGTGCTGCCCCATGGGCGGCCAGCCGCGGATGGGGCGCCCGACGCCCCCCCCCCATTGCCCCCGTCCCGCCCTCCAGGAAGGGTTCGGACGAATTTCAAGCATTGGCGAAGCGTCCTGGCTCGCCTATAGGCCCACCAAAGAATGTTCTACGAACCGTTTTTTGTTTCCAAGAAATGTTCCTAGAGCATTTCTGGCTGGGACCGTCTTGTTTCAACACACCCGGTTTATATTATAAGAACATTGTTTCCGTTATTCGACCAATTTTGGGGTCTAAGAACACTAGGTGGTAGACCTATAGAAATGTTATGACGGTCGGTCCCTGCTCAATCTCCTTGGAGCACCAAAGTACCCTTCGTGTCCCCTCCCCCCTGCGGCCACCCTGTGGGGCTCCTCCAGGCTCGCTCAGGAGGCTTCAAAGGGCCACGGGGACGACACGACCCGAGTGCACCCCCAGAGGTGTGCTAGAACATTGACCCACAGGAAGCTCCAAGAAGCCACACGAGAACCCGAAGAGAAACCCTAGTTAGCCCAAATCAGCCAGTCATGTTTTGAAGTTTTGAGGCGGATGAGAGGAGAAGGGGGAGGGGAAGGAGGAACCACCCACCTGCCAATCCCGTCATCCCTTGCACATTCGCCATCTTCTTCATCCTCGTCATCCCTGCTCCCCGCTCGTCCCCCTTCATAAGATTTCATCGCCTCATCTTCGTCTGCATCCATCTCCCCCTCATTCCCGCGTCCTCCCTGATCCCTTCTTCTTCCTTCTCCCTCTTCCCCCTAATCTCGTGGATCTCGTGTCCCCTCTCCCTGCTCCCTCCGCCCCTCCCTCGCCCTTGCCCCCCCCCCTCCCTGCCCTACCCTCGACTGGTGGATTGCGCGGAGGCACGGGGGGGGGGTACATCTTGAGAGTAGACTCATATACTTGCTTGTGTGCCTGACCGTGATTGCATTCAGTGTAGTAGTAGTAGTAGTAGTAGTAGTAGTAGTAGTAGTAGTAGTAGTAGTAGTAGTAGTAGTGGGTGTAGTGGGTGTAGTAGTAGTAGTAGTAGTAGTAGTAGTAGTAGTCGTAGTAGTTGTAGTTGTAGTAGTATTAGTAGTAGTAGTAGTGGTAGTAGTAGTAGTAGTAGTGGTAGTAGTAGTAGTAGTAGTAGAAGTAGTAGTAGTAGTGGCAGTCGTAATTGCTGTAGTAGTAGTAGCAGTCGTAGTAGTAGTAGTAGTAGTAGTAGTAGTCGTAGTCGTAGTCGCAGTCGTAGTCGTAGTCGTAGTAGTAGTAGTAGTAGTCGTCGTAGTAGTAGTAGTAGTCGTAGTAATAGTAGTAGTAGTCGTAGTAGTCATAGTAGTCGTAGTAGTCGTAGTAGTAGTAGTCGTAGTAGTAGTATTTGTAGTAGTAGTAGTAGTGGCTAGTGGTAGTGGTAGTGGTAGTGGTAGTGGCTAGTGGTAGTGGTAGTGGTAGTGGTAGTGGCTAGTGGTAGTGGTAGTGGCTAGTGGTAGTGGTAGTGGTAGTGGTAGTGGTAGTGGTAGTGGTAGTGGTAGTGGTAGTGGTAGTGGTAGTGGTAGTGGTAGTGGTGGTGGTAGTGGTCTAGTAGTCTAGTAGTAGTACTAGTAATACTAGTAGTAGTAGTAGTAGTAGTAGTAGTAGTAGTAGTAGTAGTCGTAGTAGTAGTAGTAGTAGTAGTAGTAGTAGTCGTCGTAGTAGTAGTAGTAGTGGTAGTGGGTCGGCCCACGGAGATTTGGGGCATTGAAGAACACGTGCCGCTTTTTTGCGTTTTTTTCCTGATTGTAATTTACCTTCTGGTTGTGAAGTGCCATTCTTTGAACACCTATGCTGGGTTTGAAGTGCCCCATCCGGTTGTAAAGTGGCCGTTCTGGTTGCAATGCGGCCCACACGCCTCCTTGGGGGCCTCTTGGCGCCTCGTTGGGAGTCCTGTAGGAGCCATCCAGAGACCTCTCGAGACCTCTTAGGGGCGCCTCGGGGTCCTTTGGGGAGATCGAGATCTGGGGGTCGTCTTGGGGGGGACGGCTCGGGGCTCGGACTGTCAGTTCGTGGTCCGCTTCCAGGGCCTCTCTTGGGGCCGTCTTAGGGGTGGGCCTTCTTGTGGGTCTCATCTTGGAGCGGTGTTGGGAGCAGATTGGGCCGTCTTGGGGCGGTGGACGCTTGAAAAGGCGAGAATGCCTAAATTCGTCAGCGACTGACCATCTTGGGATGTTTTTTGGGCGGTCTCTTGAGCAGTCTCGGTGCCCTCTTGGATCGTCTGGGAGCTGCCTTGGGCCGGTATTGGGGGCCGATTAGGCCGTCTTGGAGCGTTGGACGCTTGAAAAGGCGAGAATGCCCACATGCGTCACAGACCTCAGCGTAATCAGTGACTGGTGCCTCTCAGGATCATCTTGCGGGGTCTCTTGGGTCCCTCGAGGGGCGTCTCTGGTGCCTCTTGGGGCCATCTTGGGGCGTTTTTTTAGGGGGACCTCATCGGTTCAAGGAACGGCACGCGACAAGCCGGGAGCACGTAGCACGCACGAGGAAGTTTGGCGATTTGTGGGTTTCGGCCCTCAAACGCTCGAAGAGTCATGCGGGGGTGCTGTATGTACCCAAAAGATTTGGGCGCACTCGAAGTCCTTCCTGAAGACATGCTTGTGGACATGTGATCGCATGCGCTCAACAAAGGAGAAGCGATCAACCGCAGCAGATGATGATACATGTATCTAGTGATTAGATTCGACGGCGACGGGCTGATGCAAATTGCGCGTCATGTTTCGAACATCCTTCCAGTCGACACAGTCAACGATCGACCACCTTCGGTGCGAATGTCATACAGCCGCCGCATGGCTCGTGTCGTTGTTTTGACCGTGTGCACGCTAACGGCGATGTTGGTAATGGCGATGTAGGTTTCGGCGTTGTAGGTGGGGGTGGTTCGTGGACAACTCAATTGTAGGACATGCTCGTTTCTGATCTCTTACATATTGTTCTGCGCGAGGTCGGCTTAGCAAACACCAGGTTCCCAACGACGCCGTTAACCAACATCGCCGTCGGCGTGGCCTTCTTCTGCTATCGCACTGGTGTGGAGCCTGGGCGTACGCCGTCTCTGTGCCATGCTCTCTGCAGGACTGCAGGCGCCGTGCGTCTCCTGCCGCATCCGGGAGCAGTGCCGGGTCGGAGGCCTCGTCTGCCCAGAGAAGTGCCGCCTCCTCCCGCTTTTCCTTTCCGCCCTCTCCTCCTGGCAGATGTGGGGACAGTGGGGGCGCGCATCAAGAAACCATATGCTTTCCGTCAGGGTATCCTGGGTTTCTTCGCTCCTCGCGCTGCGCGGTGACTTCCCGCAGCCGTTGACGAAGCTGCTGCGTTCAGGGTGCTCCAGTTTTCCCCTCAGGTGCACCTCGCGCACGGGTTCTCAGGGTCTGGTTTCTTGCGAGGGTTTCTTGCGGCCGCGCTCGCACTGTAAGCGTGGACATGCGAAAGGATTGACCTTCA